ACATACATACAAACATACAAACATTCATACAAACATACATACATACATACAAACATACATACATACAAACATACATACAAACAAACATACAAGCATATATACATTCAAACATACATACAAACAAACATTCAAACATACATACAAACAAACATACAAACATTCATACAAACATACATACATACAAACATACATACAAACATACAAACACACATACAAACAAACATACATACAAACAAACATACAAACATACATACAAACAAACATACAAGCATACAAACATACATACAAACGTGTGGTTAGTGAAGTACGCAAGTTACAAACAGCGGCTTCCTTGGACCCATTCACCTCCCCTCCCGCCCACCTGACTTACAAAGGAATGGGAAAACCATTTCTTCATGGAGCCGACTTTGTCTCGCCGAAACACGAAAGGGACAAACTCTTGCCACCAAGTAACAGGAAGGCTATTGACTTAAATATCGCTAGATGCTGTAGCGGTAAGATTTCTTTGAATTGAAATTTGAGGAAAACAGCCGCAGACCAAATGGAACATACTTTGGGACATACACTGTAGTGTACGTGGGCGTAACTTTCTGGCCAACCACCTTCAGGTGTCTTGAAAGTGCACTTCTGCCTCCAGGTATTTCTTTACCGCAACGCAATTTCTGTCTGGAGGTTTGTGGAGGCACTCCTTGGTGCCGTGTCACCTTTTTAACTTGCTAAGTTGCTACATTTTAAGTTCATTGGAAGTGCATTTATTGTTTGGCATTCATAAATGGGAACAGAGGACCATTAAAGACAATTTTGTGAGCAGGAAAAGCCCCAGAAATTATCCGTCTTCCCTCTGTAATTGCTTCCAGCTAAATTGGTCTTCCCAATCATTGCATTTACCGTACAATTTGCATGGTAATAGGCAGGGGTGTCACTCACTTCCGCGCAAATTCACCTCACGTTCGTCTCCTGTCGGTTTGCTCTCGACGCCTACGCCATCCTTCTGTAATTTCCATTAAGTTAAGGAAGAAGTTACCGGAAAATGTCTCACCAATAAGTTTCTTTCTGTGATTAAATGAACAGATAAAGACGGTATACTAGCAAACTTAGAAACGTCTGATTCTTTTTTACAAAAAGAACGAGACAGAAGAGGTAATTGGTCAAAGTGACATGAACAAATGCAATGTGAGGGAATTGTAATGCTTGTACCACAGTATTGCATTTCCTGGGTACTGCTCTGTATATCATGAAGCACTGAGGTTTATAACAGGCTGCAGAGCACTGAATCATCTCTGCGCTGCTGTGTGCTGAGGTGAAGTGGCCCTCCTTGACCACGCTGAGATTATTTCATTGGTATACTTTTATTTATAGGGCTCTTGCCCTCTCACTTCTCATTGTATTTTAAGTTCTCATAAAATGCAACCTATTTTCCCAGGATTCATAGCGGATGTGTTCTCCATAACTCGCACAGACTTTGAAAAGAAGGCGTCAGTTTAACAACTCCATTTTGATTACAATTTTATTAGAATTAAACCTAAAAGTTTTGCCTTTGAGGTTGTCCAACTTAGAATTCTCACTGCTCTTAACGCTCTCAAAGGTATCACTTCTACCTTTCTTGGACGAACTTCAGAAAATATTCCGGTTACTCATGCTTTACTCAACACTTTACGTTAGAGACACTTTTTGAACTCATAACTTGCAGTTTCTTCTTCATCTTATTTTTTAAGCAGATTAATATTGATTTCAGTTTATAATCAACAATTATAACCTTCCATCATCTCCTCTCCCTTCAGATGGATCACGATCCCAGGAACCCAGCCTACATCGCCACTCAAGGCCCTCTGCCCTCCACCGTGGCTGATTTCTGGCAGGTAAAGACACACACACACACACACACACACACACACATGCATGAACAAAAGTCAATGCCTTCTCCTCTCTTAAACAAGAGTTAACCAATTTTTATTAGTGCCGCGAGCCACACGGGACACCAGCTTGTTTTGTAGATGTCGTTATTAAACTCCCTTTTACCATCATGCTCACTGCCCTTCAACGCCTCTGACACACACACACAGACACACACACACATACACCAGTCCACAGTGGGACACATTGTTAATTCTGTGGACGACAAACACTTTTCCCACTGTCCCAAATGTTGAATTGGGTTTGAAACTAAGACCAGTGGATCGATAAGTTATTCCGGCCAGTCACGGCGTATTTGTGTGTCCAGTGATTAGGGTGTGTGTAAGTGTAGGTGAGTTTGTGTGTGTGTGTGTGTGTGTGTGTGTGTGTGTGTGTGTGTGTGTGTGTGTGTGTGTGTGTGTGTGTCTTAGACGTAAAGGTCTCCTTGTCAAACAAGTCCTGTCCCTGCTGCATTCCCAGTAGCTCTGGTTACCATCCAGGCTGGAAAGAAGAGAAATAAATCTCCGGCTCCTGTAGATTCACTGCACAGCAACTGCTAGTCAGCTTGAGTGAAACATAAAAGACAGCTCATTTAAGATGTCCACCCATTATCCTTCCATTAGCTGTACCCATTTATCATTGAGGGTTGCGGGGGTGCTGGGTAACTCCCTGGACAGATCGCCAGTTAATCACAGGGCTGACACTAAAGAAGACAGCCCTCCATGCTGACATTTACACCTACGGCTATTTTAGAGTCCTCCATTGACCTCGCCTGCATGTGTGTTTGGACTGTGGGAGGAAACCCACTCCAGAGGAGCATGCAAACTCCACACAGAAGGGACTCGAACCCAGAACCTTCTTGCTGTGTGGCGATTAGTGCTAACCACCCATTTAAAATGTGCCAAACAGCATGCTAGTCAGGTTAACTGACATCACAAACTTAAAGGTGTTACAACATTATGTCACTGCGTTTCTGTTGACAGTGTGTGTGCGTTCAGCCAATCTATCGTCTTTAAAAAGTTGTGGAACGCTCTCTGTACATTCTCGATGAACCTTCTTCAGGTCTTTGCTGTAGATGTGCGTCTCAAACAGTCAGTATCCAGTAAACAGGTTTTACCCGCTGCTCAAAAGATCATTAAGAGATGTTGTGTAAAATTCTCAGACCAGAACTACGGCGCATCTCAGGTTCATTAAATAGCCTCTCTGTGCTTCACGTGCCTCAGCGCTCAGACTTCATCCAGGCCTCTCGTTGTGTTGTGGCCAAGTCTACGCAGCGTTACTGCGTCTCGTCAGCCTCCTTAATCAGACGTTATTACACCACATACAGTACATCACATCGCCGAGCGTGTTCCCCATCAGCATTCTGCTGACGTACCAAAGGGACACAAACCACAGTGTCCAGCGTACATACGTATGTTAATGTATGGACCAGTGTGACTTTAAGGCCCCTAAATCATATAAAAGAGCACACTGTGCAGTTAAGTCCTTTTTTTTCCCGGATAAATAACAGTTTAAATTAAATTTGCATTTTAACAAACCCACAAGTTTTAAAGGAGGGAACTTGTCGTCCCAGCACCAGCGAGTTCTCACCCTGTCAGCTAAAGCAAATTAACACCATTTCTCAAAAAAAATAAGAAGAGAAAGTGCACCGTCGTATCTTTAGATCCATGAGACCAATCAGGGAAGCAAGGGGGGCTGAGCGGAGTGTGTGTGTAGCGGTGCAGTAATTAACGACGGTTAACTCTCCGGCAAGGTGTTGCGATGCTGCTGCTGACGGCAGATGCGGCCATCTTGATAATCTAACGCGGTGTGATGTGGGAGCGGTATTGTTTTATGGCTTCCATTAACGGCTGGCTGTAACCTCCGATCGTAGTCGAATGGATCTCAAGAGCCAGCCCACCCTCCGGCTGTGACAATATGAGTGCCAGCAGGAAAAATACGAGCGCGTGCCGAGTCTCACTGCGGAGTGACCCGGTCGTGGGAGGAGACGGCCTCGGCAGCAATTACTTTTTCGTGCCGCAACGCTTGCCTTGCTCGTAGTTTCATATCAAGGTCTGAAACGCAGTAAACAGGTCTCGGAGTGTTTGGTTTCAAACTGAGATTTCATTTTCACCCCCCCCCCCCCAAAGAACAGAAAACGTCTACCCTTCCAAAATGAAACATAGCGCAAACTTTACAAACATTTCGTTTTTCTATGATAGAACTACATTGTTGATAGAGTTATAATAGAGTTATAAAGAGGGAGGATATTGGATATTTTATAGATAATCTATGATAGATTTATGTTACAGCCAACCGTTTTAATTATGTTAATTATGTTAACTTGTTTTTTTTTGAGAATGACGGTCTAAATACTACACTATATTACTACAATACTATTGCATAGAAGACACCAAAACCTGTAAGAAAACTGAGAGTACCTTTTTCAGTAAGAGGCCCTTAAAGAGAGAGGGTTGGGTCCAGATGGTGACGTTGGTTCTGTCTCGAGGTGTTTACCGAGCGTGCGTTGTGTTTGCAGATGGTGTGGGAGAACGGCTGCGTGGTCATCGTTATGCTGACGCCTCTGGTCGAGAGCGGGGTGAAGCAGTGCTACCACTACTGGCCCGATGAGGGATCCAACCTGTATCACATCTACGAGGTACAATGGCAGAAGAAGTGACTGTTTAGGGGGCAGACCATTGGTGTTTGGCTCCATGAAGCATCTTTTCTTTGTATCTGTGGACGTTACAGGGTTAATAAAGCGTATAGTGTTGAGTTATGTCCCGTGCCTGAGAGCTGTCACTCTTACCTGTATGTCTGAAGGTATGGGTCTTATCTAGACACGTGCAACACGTAGTTTCATCTCAATTTAGTAAGCAGAAATGTGATGTCTTGTACATTTGGTACGAGTTGTGTTAATTGTTGTGTCCTTGCAGGTAAACCTGGTGTCCGAGCACATCTGGTGCGACGATTTCCTGGTTCGTAGCTTCTATCTGAAGAACATGCAGACCAACGAGACGCGAACCGTCACTCAGTTCCACTTCCTGACCTGGCTCAACCAGAACGTCCCGGAGACCAGCCGGACGCTCCTCGACTTCCGCAGGTAGGGAACTCCTTTGAAAAAACAAAAGAAATATTCGAAACTAAACTAAGACTTCTTGTTTTTTTCAAGCTTTTTTTGTTCTTATCGCTGCTAACGTATCGCGCTGCTAACTGCGCTCCTCGTGGAGCTGCTCCAACAAACCATGAGCAGTATGAGCTGCTAGTGCAGCAACAAGATTGTGATCCCTCAGCGGCTTCCCATCGCATACACTGCCAATTTTGCCACAAACAAAGCGACCGGCTATTCGAGAGAGGCCTCCACATCCAGAGGGTGCTTGAGACGGTATACGCCGCTCAACATGTTTTTCTGTACTGGCCAAGACTAGGATTTTTCTTTCTTCCTAGTTTCTTTGAACTCCTTGTCATTTGAAGAACATAGAGTACTAAAGCCCGCTTTATGTCGATAGTAAACTCACTGAGGTTTTAGAAAGCCGTGAGGAAACTTCTGTAAGTCTTTTTGGAAAGAGGCCTTTGGAGAAAAAAACCAAAAACTTTGATAACAAGATTAATTTCCAAAGCAAGAAAAGCACTTTGTGTGATGTTTCCAAAGAAAAAGTCTTTTGCTCACTTTGTCTTTGCATTGGTAGAACAAAGCCCCGCCTTTATTCGTAAAGGAGTCCACTTGTAGATGGACACAAACAATAACATAAGATGTGTGACAGTACCTGAAAATGTGCCGCCCTTCCCCACGATGAGGGAGAGTTTTTTATGTCTCGCCGATCTGTATCTGGTGAAATGAAAGGCGTCAAGATCATGAACAGTACGGAGAGTCTCGTGGGTTCGGCGACCTCTGCGTACGTCTTGTGATTCCTTGAGTTTCTTCTATTCAGTCACTCCTCATCGAGCGCGACGTCCATGCGAGTTCCACTGAGGGGTTGTCGAAAACTGACCAGAAGTGTCCAACCTGGAGGTCCTCAAATGCACCACAATCATCTTCTTTCATGCTAGCTGGCATAGTAGAATGTGGGATGGTTGTGGATGCGGTTTCTTTTTTGTTTTGATTTTTCCTTTAAAACAAAAAAGAAGGTGAAGGAGGTTAAATAGAAGGTCTCTGAGTTATTTGCCCCCCCCCCACATCTAAACATTTAAGTCGCCTTAATAACTTCACGCCTCTCACTTCTTCAGGAGTTCTGACTCGTGACCCTGAGATGCGGCGAGAGAAATATCTATATCAAACATCCCGGGCGTTTTTTTTCCAGTTGATAACAGAGTAATTCGGGATGCATTGAGAGAACTCTGCCGGAGTGATCCTTTATCTCCGGCGCCTTTTTTTACGGCCGCTCCCCTCCTTCGACCTCTTCTAAACTGATATACTGTATTGCCTATTAGTTGGGAGCCGCCCCGGCCCCCTTTTCTCTGAGTCACTGTGGATTTTTTCGAGCGATAGACCCCAACTGGGTTTTTTTTTTATATATAGAGCTCCGGTTGTTGCCGCGCTGCTGGCGCACATCAATTAGGTGAGATATCGACAGTCGGAGATTGTGGTTGCGGCTATTATGAAAAAAAAAGAAAGTAAAGGAGGTCTGGTGGCCGTCGCCGCCCTTCATCAGTTAGGAGATATTGCCTTTACTCACAGGGCGGCGGGGTCAGAACACAATGAAGGAAGCACACAGGGAGATATTTTTCACTTTTATTACCGTGGATATGGAACAATAACAACCTCCCCTCTTCCCTGCTTTTTTTACGGTGTTTCCTTTTTTTTTCACCTCGAGGAGGCCGGCTGACCTCTTCTTCCTATATGCTTGTGTCGGCATGTTTTTTTTAACCTCACTCACAACTGACTGACTGAGCCGAAGCATTGCTTACAGCCCCCCCTCTGTCCTCCCCCCTGTTTTACCAGCTAACTAGCGGTTGCCAGTGTCATTTTTGTGATGTTGCAGCTAGTAATATAAGCCCAGTTGCATAGTCACAAAAGTGATCATTGGAGACTGTGACTCTGCAACCAGGGGGCCTCAAGGACCCCCTCCCTCCTATCCTTATACCCCCCCCTCTCCCCCTGTCTCCCTTTATTTTCCTTTCCTTCCTCTCTCTCCTCGCTGTGCCCGGTGACCTGAGATGACCTCTTGCCTTTTTGCTTGCTCATGGTTTGCTTGACTGCCTACGATCTCCTCCTCCCCCTTCTCTCGCCTTGCCTCCCTTCCTCTCTTGCTTTTGTCTTTCTCTCACCCGCCCTCTGTCCGTCTCTTCGTCTCTCTCTTGTGTCCTTCTGTCCATCCCTCTTGATGTTTTTTGACTCCCGAGAAAACATCTGCACTGAGAAAAGGTTCTTCTCTCTGTTTGGTTCCACACTTGTCGGGTGTTTTTTGGCACCTGGAAAAGCTTTTAAAGGCCCGACAAGGTGGTGAGCATGAGAGACACAAAGCTCAGCTAAAAGCCTGATAAGGATACGGAAGCATTCTGTCTATCTGTCACCTCTAACCTCTCTGCAATCACTCATTTTAAATGTCAGTATAGCCGATCATACAATATCAACGTATGCTCATACAACGGTTCGCATGATATCTTACGAAAAGTTGCTCCCCATTTTTCCGAAGAGATCCAGCAACGAGTGTTAGTTTCCGCTCGCTACATGCATACAAAGTCTACTCGGTTGGGTTCAGGCAACAAAACCACGTAGTTAGGTTTAGAAAAAGGTCGTGCGTTCGGGTTAAAATATCCACGGACGTCATCGACTTCTCGTTTTCTCACGAGGGAACGAGCAGCGGTCTGTTTGTCATGATTTAGTCAGCAGGGCACGAGTAAAACACACAGTTTTCTGCGATGATTTCACCGTCATACGAAGCGTTGGCTCATCTTGTGAAGCATCAATTCCAACACATCCTATTCCGCTTTCATTTCGGTTTCTTTACGTCTCTTTTTTCAGACCGGGTAAACCCAAAGCTGCTGTAGAGATCCATTAGATAGACTCGACACCTTCTCTTATCAATGTGGCTCATAGGAGCTTCCTCACCTCAACTACATCTTGCGTCTGTATGAAGGATTTATCGTTTCACAAATTACATTTTCCAGTTTGAATTAGTGAAACGCGTGTAAATGAACGTCACGCTGTAGATTCAGTGAAACTGTCTCCTTTAGGTTTAGGTTTATCTGGCCTTGTGTGGATCTCTCTATCAGTTTGTTTTTTCCCTCTCTCTCGCTCTCTCTATCCCTCTCTCTCTCTCTCTCTCTCTCTCTCTCTATCCCTCTCTCTCTCTCTCTCTCGCTCTCTCTCTCTCTCTCTCTCTAACCCTCAAACTCCGTCTCCCTCTTCATCCGCTCCATCTATCGGTTTCTCTCTTTTGTCTCTCTCTCTCTCTGTCTGACTCGTGTTCTCTCCGTCAAGCTTGAGTCTCTCTTGTGGGGCGTTTCCTCCGAGTCTCCCACACCCCTCTCTACACCCACCGCCGGTTGGGGATTTTTCTGCCCGGCTGTTTCCATGGTAACATCACTTTTAATTGTCTGCAGCGAGCTCTGACTTTTCAATTTTGGTGTGGTGGAGGATGAACGTGGGCGGAGGGGTTTTTTTTGTGATGTTCCCACTTGTGTGTTCCTCTCTTGGCCTCAGGAAACAACCTGCTGCCAAAAAAAAAAAAAACTGCATATATTGTCAATTTAGTGGTTTGTTCCAGAAATTCCGAAAAAACACAACATTGGTTTTCGTTATAAAAACAGCAGGTTTGTTCTTGGTTCGACTTGTGTTCACGTGGTTCATGTGTCAGGACTAGTTGTAGATTATACTTATATTTGTGCCAGCCTCTGCCACAGCGTCTTGATCCTCTGAATCTGTCATTTTGGATCTGGATATTTTAGGATTCAGTGCAGAAGCTCATTAGAAAAAAGAGAAAATGTCCAAAACATTTCATATCTCAGTGTTAATAAATGCATAAAGAAATGAATGGAACCACCACTAAATATCTATTTGTATTCTTACGCAAGCTCAAGTGAGAATGAGGGTCATTTTTTCACAGACTTCTATACCATTAGACTTCTTTTTGCAACCAGAGGAGTCGCCCCCTAATGGCCATTAGAAAGAATGCTGGCTTCACTTTTCTAGACCTTTCAACCACATCTCATGGTCTTCCTCAGTGGAAGGAGCGTGCTCAGGTGTCATTACATGATCTAAGGACTGCCTCAGTTTTAAAAACAAATGTCATTTAAATGTATTAGGTTTTTGAGATATTCTGCAGACGGTCTGGGGAAAAATACATTTACAAGGAAGGTTCAAGCAAATGAAGGTCACAAATTTCACTTTCTTTCCTCGACTGAGTGATGCATTATGGATTACCACCACACACACACACACACACACACACACTGTGCCTTTACATAATATGTTCCTGCTGTTATTGGGAGTTATCACCATGAAATAGAATCAGGAATGGTCTCCAGCTGGGATCAAACTCACGGCTCTCTGCTTCTTGCTCAGATAGGAGCTGGATGTTTGCGTAGATCCGGCGGCTGCTGTGCATTTTGATGAACAATGTGTCAAGTTTTTTACCACAATTTTTTTTTTAAAGGGGAGCTGCCATTCTCAACACATACTTTGAGGCAGCGCTCAGCGTCTTTGTGCATGTATGAAAGAAACACGAATGCAAATCCATCTTGTCTGCTGTTGAATATTAACATACAGCAATGGGATGGTTTTCATTCTTTCAAAAAAACATCTCAGGGTATTTGTGTTGATTGGGTTTCAGCTGTGCGACTTCAAGACCTGTCGATAGCAACATAAGACATGAGCGCTGTATGAAAAGAGCTTTTCTGCATTTCAGGATACAGGTTTATCAAGGTGGCTAGTTATGATACGCAGTGCATCTTTAAAAAAAATGTTCATGCTGTATCTGTTGTGCAATCTTTGGTTCTTATTCTTAATAATTCAGAAAATGATTGACTGTTGAAGTAGGGCTGAGAAACAATTCACACTTTGGATGAAAATGGTTAGCCCAGTCGCCAAGAGAAAGAGTTCGCATCGTTGGTGTCAGCAGACCACGGATATGTTGAATGTGTCTTTTTTCCGATCACAGTCAATCAGAGTAAGTGACGCAGTATGTTGAGCAACTGATTGAGTTATTTCACTTACAGCAGGTGGGCAGGAGACCGCTGTTAATGTCCTGTGTAAAACCAAAAATATACGGTGACGTAACGCTTGTTACATAATGTTATGCTTGTTTCGTAATATTACGTAAGAAAGTCAACTAAAGCCGATTGGTATTTAGGCTAGTTAGGTTGTGACGTTACATTGTTAAGGTTGTGACGTTCATTGTGACGCTACGTTGTGACGCTACGTTGTGGCATTGTGACGTCCGTTACGTTGCGGCACTAGACTGTTCACCTGCAGTGAAGCGATGGCAGTATTTTTTCTGGCGACTGGGTAGGAAGTTATATAGGTGAATTTTATGTTTCTATACAATACTATATACTCATATGTTAAAAAAAAAAGTTTAGAAAATATTTTTGGGATGTTGTGCAACTATAACCAACTTAATTTGAAACCTGGCAGTCTTAAGGAACATTTTAACAGTGCTACGCATGCTGTTCTTTGTGGTGGTGGTTTCTAAAAGCCCGGATACATCATGTACTGACTGTGTGTATTTCTGTGTGATGTTAACACTGAGCTCGTTTTTTCTGTTCTGTGTTTTCTACAGAAAAGTTAACAAGTGCTACCGGGGACGCTCGTGTCCTATCATAGTCCACTGCAGGCAAGTATAATAACAACTACAGCAGTCTGTATTTCTTCTCTTTTCATTTCTTCAAACAGACATATCTTATGTGGAGGTCGACAAACATTTTACATGAGAAATTACCCCCAAAAGTTGTGACTTAATTGGGACAAACTGTCCACGGAGGAGAGAAACTTTCAACTGGAGGCAGTGTGTAGTTTGGTGAGAGCAAGAGAGGGTTTAAATAGACGTAAGCAGGGTTGCAGCTGTTGTGATAGCGGTTATGTCTGCCTGCTCGCTCCTCCACTAAGTGATCTATTATTTAATATTGTGTAACGGCTCTTCCAGGATCAGGAAATCATACTTGTTCTCGACTAAATTGCTTCACCACAGTACGAAACCTGTCGTTATGGAGCATCTGGATCATCCCGAGCATTCTGGGGAGTAACAGAACATGTTTAGAAACATAGTGAGACTTTAGAGGTTACTGGAATAGAACCAACACACACACACACACACACACACACACACACACTTAATCCAGGCAGTTCGTTACTGTTATTCACCGTCCTCCCTCTTCCCGTGTTACCTTTGAAAGAGTCTTGAGCTTTAGGAATAACATGAATTCCTCACTCGAGGTTTATCGTCCATGCACAAGTCTTCGTCTCAATCCGCGCTGCTCAGACCAAATCATTTCTTCCCATTGACTTGGCATGCAAGTCATGCCACATGTCATTTACAGTGTATTTGAACAAGTCATTCGGATTGTTGCAAACTCATTTCCGAAACCCAACCGGCCGATCTGATGTACACAGACAGCAGAGTGACGCAACAGAAGATGCAGAAATGCTGTAATCACGCAGCATTTCAGAGAACTTCTCTGTCTTTGGCTTTCTGTCTCTTAAAGAATCTCTCTCTCTGCCTGTCTTTCGCTCTCAGTCTCTCATTTGAAATAGAGAGAGAGAAGGCAGCAGACATCTTGACGTGTTTACTCACAGCCCTCAGGCTTCACACACACCTCACACACACACACACACACACACACACGCATCTCATATCTTTGATCGCCTTGTAATGATGCTGGCGAGGTGCAGCGATACGACAGATCTAATCACGCTGTAATAACCTGTACGACACACACACACACACACACACACATACGTGGACACACACAAACTACCTGAGATCAGAGTGATAGTATCTGTATGGAACACACACACACACACGTCCACACACACACACACACACACACACTCCGATCCAGCGCTGGTGCTGCTCAATTACTGCCACCGGGTTTGTTGGAATATACAGCTCTGTGTGTGTGTGTGTGTGTGTGTGTGTGTGTGTGTGTGGGTGTGTGTGTATGGGCTTGCAGAAAATAACCAAGGCCCTAGTGAAAATGAAATATTCAGGAAGTATGGATGCATGCCAGCTACCACACACACACACACACACACACACACACACTTGAGTTTGCTGGATTACACAGCAGCCCATGAAAGAGACTGGTCGGGGTGCAGACATTAATTTTACACACTTGAAATGAATCTAGGATACAAAATATTCCCTCCACATACATTACAGAGACCAAACGCCTTCACACACCGAGGGTGTTGGTTTTTGTGTTGGTTTTTGTGTGCGTCAATATATTTTCATCAGACTCTTGTTCACGTTGTGCGTAACGGGTTGAGTTGCGCTAATTATTTATAAAACAAAAGCTCACCCGACACGAAAAAGCAAAATACTAGTCTGTAAATGTCATATGTGTAGGGCTTTTATTGTGAAAGGTAAGAACGGAAGAATCTGGTCTGAGCGGCCTCTGTCCAGGTTTATGGGGTAATAGAGTTGCCGCCTTGGTTTGGACTACGGAGCCTCAGTGTAGTTGCAACTCAGCCCGTGGTCCGTGCATTTTATTTGCGGTGCAAAAAAACATAATATTGCTTTTTTGCAGCACTTGTGACAAAAACAACAGTTTAAAAAAAACTAAGTATGTGAAGGCGTTAAGGCCTTAATAAGGTTTTTATGCACTCAAAGCTGTTGTTGCTTTTTGTCCTTCCTTATTTTTAGAAGAGAAGAACATGCATTGACATCCGTGTCAAATTAAACAGAAATGTAGCGCTGCTGTTAAACAGATTTATATTTTGATGTTAATTCCTGACCCAAATAAAAACCAGCTTCTGCCTTTCTGTTACTTTGAAGTCCTTTATCCCCCTTGAAATAGCATTAAAAGACTCGTAAACCTCGACGTGCTCACCTGCTTAACACTGGAGTCAGGATGCGTCTGTCTCCAGAAATAAAACCCCAGTGACATCAATACTGTAGAGGACAACAAATAAGTGGTGTTGTTACAGTAAACGTGTGGGTGGGTGTTATTCGGATGTTTTAACGTTACCGTGCAGCTGCAGCGGGATGGAATGACTTCCCAGAAACAATGCCAAGTTTTTCTAAACTAAAGATTTTAGTCTAGGAAGATTATGGGAATAAATCTAAAAGTGTAACAGTCGGTCTGATGGTGTCACAATGAACAGCAGCTGACGGTTGATGTAAGAAATGAGTAAAACAATGATGGATTAAAGCATCGTAGGATTGACACAATACGGTTTTGTTTTGCTGTTTTTTTTTATTTCTTCCAAATACTTTCTTCCAACATGAAAGTTGTTATTGTGACTTTGCATTTTGATACGCCCTGTAAAACGACAAGACAGAGTTTAAGATCCCGTTAACATTGTTTTATTTTGAAAGTAATATTTTTCAGGACACATTGACAAAGGACAGATTTAACCTGCAGACTAAATAGAAGCACAGACTGAACATTTACATTTTATTACTTTGTAAATCTACAGTAGATTCACTTTTGCTGCTTCAAGTCTCAACATTTCATCCAATAAAAACGTGATACGTTGACATGACGCGGACGATCCAGAGGTTTTCACTCTCATGTTGGTTTTTGCGACCTTTCTTTTGAAAATCCCAATTTGTGTAACCAAAATCTTTATTATCATGAAAAGAAAGAAATTAACGATAAAAAGCTGCGTTGTGTAAAATAAGAATGTAACACATTAACTGATGACAAGTAATAATCTGACAAACTGTTTCATTTAATTAATATTTCTCTCTCTCTCTCTCTCTCTCTCTCTCTCTCTCTCTCTCTCTCTCTCTCCTCCTATCTCCATTCTGTGTCTTGGTCTCTCGCCCACCTGAACAGTGATGGTGCTGGAAGAAGTGGGACCTACGTCCTGATCGACATGGTCCTCAACAAGATGGCTAAAGGTGGGTGTTGTGTTTTGTTTTCAGTTTTTTTCCCCTGAGGCGCTCACCCCTCCCCCTCCTTGTAAAAATGACCAATATTATCAAAGTTTGCATCAAAAAAATATATGTTTAATTATAGATAATCACAGTGATGATTTGGTAAAAATGATATCTGTAACACAAAACAATACCTGTTGCCCCCCCGAGCCATTAACACTGATTATTATTTATTGCTTAATTGCTGCAAATTCGGTTCTGTTATCTCAGTCGATGCGTCTTTGGCACCAAACGGCACGTTGCTTCCTTCCTGCCGTGACGTTAAAACACAATGAAACTCTGTAGAAAGTAAAAAGAAAGAAGACGTTGCGGCCACGCTGCGACGAGGAAACGAGAGATAAAGGAAGGGAAGGAGGAGAGCTGGAATAACTGGTGGGAAAAGTTTTGTTCAACGGCTTTGAATCAAAAAGAGTTGACCGTGAACACTTCATCTGAAGCGTCGGCAGCACTCACTGCGAGAGCGTGATAATTAGAGCATGATGTAATGAACACAGTGTGGTAATTATGAAGGGGACTGAATATTTCATGGGGCAGCGGCAGTTTGTGATGTTAAATTAAAGTGCCTTTTTTTTGGGGGGGACGAGTGACTTTAATGTGATTCGTTCCATTTTTTAAAGCTCGAGCTTGTGGTCACATTTACAGACAACTCTTCCTCAGTCACACTGTGTGTATTCTCCTCACGTCTCTGTGCCTGAAGAGAAACCTCCGATTGCAGGGTTCCATGCACGCTGCAAGATCTTCTGTGTGGTATTTGTTCCTATTCAGTTAGCTAGTAGCTCATGTTGTATGTCATGTTAATCGCTCATCTTCATGAATAGAGGTCACTTTACCGTGGTGCACTACCGTGGTGAAATGACGTCATAAAGTAAAATGCTTTTAGAAATGTTTCATTTCTGAAGTTGTTTCTAACTTCTTAGTAAAGTAAAGATGGAACCTGATGTCCTAACTCACAGCGGCTTTTCACAGATGTTAAAAGTGCGTGTGTGCGTGTGTGTCCGCATATCTTTTTGTTTCTTTGTGTGCTGGTGTGTGTGTGTGTGTGAAGTGTCCCACGGTGGTGGTGCTGCTGTAGCAGAACGAGCTCCTGGGTCTTTTAATTCCAGATCAAAGGGTCAGTCGGGCATCGAGGGCCCCTTCTCAGCACCCAGGGGCCGGGGGAGAGAAGGGCGGGGCTGGGTGGGAGTTGGTGGATGTGTGTGTGCTTGTATAGGTGTGTGTGTGTGTGTGTGCGTGCGTGTGTGTGTCCTGAATCCCAAATTTACTCAAACAGAAAAGTTCTCACCATCCATTTTCTTTTTTTGTCTGGAAGAAATGTTCGTTATCAAGTTTATGATGTCTAATATCATCTCTATTTCATTTTATAGCAACAAAAACATCTATTTTTAATCTCACTACTGGAGCCCCAAAAGGCACCGGAGTATCACCATGACTTAGTTTGATCTTTGTCTTCACATAGTGAAGGAGGATCTCTTATGTTTGGAACGTGAATAAAAACACGGTTATGAACCGAGGCCTTCATGGTGCAGTCTGACACATGGAGAGAGAGCTGCATTTCTGTAGGACAGGAAGATAAACACACGTTTATTTCAGCGAGATAATTTACACGAATGAGCAGAACTTTAATGATCTCATGAAGTACAAAGCTAACGTTAGGCTATAAAGGAACTCCACCACGGTCACATGACGTCACGTCTCCACTCTTCTAAAGGAGGACGAGTGTTCTAGTGAGGACGTTTAGGCAGCTTCTAAATTCACCAGCGGGGCGTTTACTGACCTATTTTACATCGTAGAACAAATCGTTAAAATCTCCTCCGCTTGTGCTAAACACAGACCTTAAAAAAACACTTTTAAAGCACATTGACTTCCAGACGAGGGAACAGGAAGTGCAAATAATGCCGACTCATTTCCAGGTCGTAAGATCGGTTCCTGCAGCGCTCTATAAATACACAGATTGACTTTCTTTGTCAGTGAGACATAAAGGAATCAGAGATCAGGACGTGTGTGTGAGCTTTATTGTGAGCATCAAAGGTGGATTTCAGCGGCTCGACAGGAAATCTCTGCGAGGAGAACGCAGCTTCGATGTTTGACAGAAAACTTTTCATGGAGAACGAAAACAGAGCTTTAGTTTTGAGCTTTGACAGCTCGCTCCATTTTTTTCTAGTTTATCTAATTGCCTTTGAAGAGGTTTTTTCGTGAACCTGAGGCGTCATGGAATCGGCTAAAGCTCACGCAGGGACATCTAGTCCTGCAGGGAAAACATGAAACCCCCCATTGAGTTTGCACTTTGTACATATCTGAGCTAAACATACTTTACTTGTCAGATACTTAAGTTAACTTAAGTATCTGACAAGTTAACTTTAAGTTTACTTAAAAAATCATAGAACGCCTTCGAAAAACGGTGGATTTGATAGAAGTGTCGAAATACCAACAACAGTTTTTGTTTTTTTGCATTTAGCTTATTTCAGCTGTTAAATGACCCGCTTACCTTACCTGTTTATGCAAAAATAATATCAACCAATCGCTATTAATATTGTTTTTAGCAGTAAAAGAAGTTGGGTTCTAATTGTCCAAATGTAATACTATAACTCAGCGTATGTTTTGTGTCTTTATGGTTGTTTTGAGTCTGTTTTTGGTTATTTTGGTTGTCTCTATCTGGTTGTTTTGCGTATCTTTGTTGTCATAATCTGTCTCTTTATGGTTGTTTTGAGTCTCTTTTTGGTTGTCTCGCGTCTCGTTGTGGTCATTTAGCGTCTTTTGTGTTTTTTTCACAATAGAAACTCTGGCCCAGGGGCCCAACAGGTTAGGGGGCCTCTGGGCCAGAGTTTCTGCCGGCACCCATTAGGCCCGTTCAGTAATCGGTCCGTGCTCCAAATAACCCTGACAACATCAACAGGGTTATTTCTCTCATACTGAAGCTCCTCCACAGCTCTCATAGGCTCAGTGTTATTCAAAATCATAAACACATCTTCTTCTGGTTAAAAATACAGGTTGGCATCTAGTGATTAACACAAAATAATGTCTCTATTTGTGTTGTCTTGTATGAGTTTATCTCACGTAGCATTACACCTCTGTGAGTAACTAAGCTTCATAAAATCCCTTCGGCTGCTCTCAGCTCTGCACCGCACGGATTTTGGAGTTTTTTTGTCTGTCCTGAGAAGCTAGAGGCCCCCAGGTTTGCAGGCTCCCTCCATCCTGATCAAAGACACTTCCCACCTCCTCCTCCTCTCAGACACAACATCCCTCCCCCCATGCTCTCTCTCTCTCTCTCTCTCTCTCTCTCTCTCTCTCACCCACTATTTTGCTCCCAATGAATGAATTGTGAATTTGTCCCAGAATTATGTCGGTGTTTCCAGGAGGTTGAGGAGGTGTTGCTGTGGTTCTCACGTTTTGATTTCCCTTCTTCATTCCCCTCCTCTCTTTCTCTCATCCCCCCCCCCCCCTCTCCCCCCCCCCCCCCCCCCACCCCCCCTCATACCTCCACCACCCGCCACTCTTCCCTTCATCTTAAGAATCGAATGAAACCCATCGAGTGCCGGAGAGCTTTTCAGCATCTCTGCGTTTCTTTTCGCTCTTTTTTTGTTTTCTTTTCCCAGATCCAGCTTGTGAGCTCAAGGGCCTTGTCTGTCTTTTACTTTCCTCCTTCTCCTCTTCTATAGCCCCCCCCCTCCTCCTCCTCCTCGGTCCTCCTCCTCGACCTCCACCCTGAAGCGAAGGTCTTACAGAGAAGGGAAGTTAAAAACGAGGCCGGGTTTTTAAACCATTCCTCTTTTTTCTTCACGCCCTCAACATCTTCTTCACGGGAGAGTTTTGAAAAGAGGGAAAGAATTTTTTTTAATACCGACCATTTTGAGGTTTATCAGGACCTGCACAATACCCCTCGGCTTGTTAAAAGCCGAGGGCCCCCCCCCCCCCCCGAAAAAGCTAAACTAAAGCAGTGCGTAGCGTGTTGCAGCTTCTCTGGCTCGAGGGAGTCTTTTGTGTTGTAAAAAGACAAAAAAAAAAACGTCTCACAAAACTTGTGAAACAGAATAAGAAAACGGTGTGAATGAGCAGCTCTCCCACCATTCACTCCCCTCCTCGTGCACCCACGAAGAAGAAATGTTAATGTGTCACTACGATAGAGAAGCAAAGAGGAATCCTTTTTGTTTCCTCAGAATTTGGACAGAGGAGGAGGAGAGACAACAAATTAAATGTGTTTTTCTTTCTCTTGTTTTTTGTGAATGTAACTGTCCCCCCCCCCCCCCCTCTCTCTCTCTCTCTCTCTCTCTCTCTCGTCTCTTTTCTCTCCAAGTCTTCATCTGTTTCCTCTTTCAGACGTCTTCCTTTCCCCTTTAACATCTATTTTTTTCCCTTCTGTCCTTTCGAATCGTCTTTCTTGTATTATTTTGCGTCCTCTGCTCCTTTTAAACGAGCGGTTGTGCGCCTACGTTCTGCTCCTATGAGATGACGTAAGGCCATTAAAATAAATGTTCTTTACCAAAAGAAATCCACATTAATGTATTTAAATAGCATTATGTTTCATCAACGCGTTAAGAGCATCGAACCTTAGATGTCCTGTTTTTTTGTGTCAACATGAACACCTCACCTCAACCTTCCTTTTATCACCGTTTCCAAGCTCGCAGCCCTTTTCACTCCTTACAGTCCGACCCAAGTGTGAGTTCTGAGGACACCTTATGATATAAGAATGAAAGAAAGACTCAATGACAATTTATCAGCCAACAAAAAAACTTTATAATGTAAAAAAAAGGGAAAAAAACATTTTTGCGGTAATTTAAATACTGAGGCAGAATATTTTACAGTTACTATGATGAATTAAAGTAATCTTGAAGTAGTAAATTTCACAGCTGATTCCATCTTTAACAACGGAAATACAGCAAAACAATGTTGTATATTGTGTGAAACATTTAATGCTTGCTTTGGATCTATGTATCCTAAAATATTGACGTAATCATCAAATCTATATCTGCCAGCATATAAAGCAATACAAGTATATATGATATTGATGAATGAATGCTATTAACAACACATCAACGGATAAACTGCTCGGTTATTGACGTGACACTGAAACAGTAGACTGGAGACTTGAGACCTGAACCAGGGTGGTTCAGGTCTCAAGTCAGGTTCAGAGTCCGGCTCGACTGCAACTTCACTTCAGACTTGAAAACATAAACGTCTAAGGTTTGGTAAAATCTTGAAAAGGTGGAAAATGAATAAGACGATGTCAAACAGACTGCAACACACCCGGAATATTGTAGAAAAACATTTTGGAAAGAAAATGACTTGCATTCTCTCTAGTGTCCACCAGGGGGCGACTCCTCTGGTTGTATAGAAGTCTATGAGAAAATGACTCTACTTCTCTCTTGATTTATTACCTCAGTAAACATTATAAACATGAGTTTATGGTCTCAATCTCTAGTTTCAAGTCTTCTTCAATACAGCATGATGTTCATTTAGTACATTATGGTCCATTTAGAGTCAAACAGACCATAAAGCAGGGGATGCTTTAGGGCGGGGCTACACGGTGATTGACAGGTCTCTAACACGGCGTTGTCCGTGTTTCCGTCTTACAACATTAACCCTTTCTCAGTGTGTTTTCACTTCATGAAAGTTGATTGTAACATTTTTGGTCACTTAAAAATGTCGTATTCATTGTTGGTTGTTCTCAACCTTCTCATGTCACTTCTGGTTCCAAAAAAACCAAGATGGCGTCAGCTAAAAGTACAGAATTTAAAGGCTATAAAACCGTACTCTAACCGTTGTTACAGTGTTTGTCTCTAAAAGGATTATAATCTGTTCGTCATACATCACAATGTCTGATGATAATCAGACGTCAGCTGTGGGGCGTCTTGCCAGTCTGGCACGCCGACAGGCTGACTGGCAACTAAACTGAGACCAACACACACACACACACACACACACACACACACAACTGGCATGTCAGATTTTGGCAGGGGCTGACAGAGCTCTGGTGGGCAACCTTCACGAGCTCAAAGGCTACAGGACGACTATCAAACGGCCGACGACGATCGGCTCAGTTTCCTTTAGAAAAAGACCCAACGGACATGTGGGCCTGTGATTCCCCTCACAAAGTCCCCTCCAACAGTTTATCTTCCTCCCTTTATCTTTTCTATTTTCATCCCGACTACAAAACACCACCACCTCGATGTGTGTGTGTGTGTGTGTGTGCAAAAGAGTATGAATGTAATGGCCTGTTGCCGCTCTGAAGGGAGTGGGTATAAACAGCAGATTGACAGATGTTAGCTGGATTATCAAGGTGGCGCTTTGAACACAATCCTACAACATTTCTTATATCTGTGTGTGGGTGTGTGTGTGTGTGTGTGTGTCTCTGTGTGTGTGTGTCTGACAGGTGCTAAGGAGATTGATATTGCAGCGACTCTGGAGCACCTGCGGGATCAGAGGCCGGGAATGGTTCAGACCAAGGTAACACACACACACACACACACACACACATGAATCTGAACAGAAAGGAGTTTGTGGCCAGGAGGCCGATATATGACACACTGCAAAAAACACAACTTATTTAAACAATCTAACATTTACATTTCAAACATCTTGCTGAGTTTGGTTCGTTAATCTACACACATTCACAGTCCTCAACCTGATATGACAGCAGAGGTCAGAAATCTGTCCGTGGTTCGTTCGTTATAAAACAGAATTATACAAAACAAAAACAAACAGCTAAAGATGAACTTATTGTTTAGTCTGAAAAAATAAACCAGAAACGTTTGTGGTAGCGATCTCACATGTAGCCCATAAAGTGTACCATCAAGGATCTGTGGACGCTTGACTCAGAGCTTCATCGGACTCATTCAAAAAGCGTTGATAGGCATATTGGAAGTGTTTATGCTAAACTAAGCTAATCCACTGTCGCGCCACGGTGCACATAAATGAGTTATATGGACCTTCTCATCTAAGTCTCTGTGACATCACCCTGTTATAAACAATATCGTGTCATTCGTTGTTGAAAATTCATAAAGTAAATCACGCCTCCGTATCAGCTTCGTTTTATCTGAACGTCTAACGTCGGCTGCTTTTCTTCGTGCCCCGTTGTGAGATTGCGAGTTTATTTTGAGGGGGAGGGGAGCTCAGTCCTCCGCATCATGCAAGATCAATCGATTTCTGAAGAGTAATTGAACGGGGATTGTAGTCGTGTCTGCTCAGACCACAGAGGGACATGTATAGAATTCAAATGGGGGGGGTGATAATCCGTGCTGAAAGCTGCTCCCAGGGTTTCACTGTCAGACGTCCTGAGGCCGCCTTCATAGTTTTACAAGTTTTTGAAATGGAAATAGAGTTCCATGCAGGTTTTCTTTTCATTTTGATATTTTTTTAAAGTATATGAAGAGTGAATAAAAGGATACAAAAGTTAAACACACTTTTCATCGTATTTTAAAGGTTGGTCGGTATGATATTCCCGCTAACACAAGATTTAATCGACAGACACATTCTGTAAATCACACGTCCTCAGAGCTTTACTGGAGAAACAACCAGAGTCATTCTTCGGTCTGGAAGCTTCAATTACCGGCTGATCTGTGAACATAATTAGGAAAGGAAAGCCGAGGTGTGTGTGTGTGTGTTTGTGTGTGTGTGTGTGTGTGTGTGTGTGTGTGTGTGTGTGTGTGTGT